GAACCACGAGGAGTAACGGTAGTTCAAACTAGGAAGCCTAGTTCGAACTACCTAGTTCGTGCCCCGTGTAGCCACGCTGCACGGGGTTCAAACCAGTGGGGTTTTAAAAATGGCGGCGCCCCGCTTATGCAAATGAAGCCCGGGAAATTCAAATCCCGGGCTTCATTTGCAAGTGCGGTATGCCTACATTACCCCGCTAGTTCGAACTAGGAGGGTAGTGTAGACATACCCATAGACTGTACTGTAGTCAACATATTTTTCTTTTCTTCACATTTATGTTCATTAACATTATCAATGTTTCTTAACACTGGTGTTCATATAGTTGCAATTTTTTCAACAAAAGAAATATGATATCTGAACACCATGATACTGAAAGCTTTAAACTGTTTGCAGGCCTAAAGTTGCAGCATTATTCCCAGGGGTCATCAAATTATGGAAAACCCTACTCGCCAGACAAAAAAGGGACTCGCCACCCTCCCCCACAAAAAGTTTTTTTTTTTAATGGCATAAATTCCTAATAAGAATAAGAACAGTAATTACTAATAAGTTATTAATAAATATCACCCAAGTTATTAATAAATATCTTATAAACCTCTATCTTTTCTCTATGCTGCCATGTCTCCTCTCCTTGCTCCATCAGCTCCCCTGGTGCCTGCTGCCCCCCAACCCCTCACCCTCCTCTGCTGTCCTGACTCTTGCCCTTCTCATTGCCCTCAGCCTTCCTGAGACCTGCCCCCCTCCGCCAGCCCTTCTCTCCCCCCGTGCCCACTTCTCCAATAGCCCCACTCGGATCATGTGAGCTACCCCTCCTCATCCCCTCTTCTAACACCTCCCTCCACACACCTGCCCTGCCTCTCTCCTCTGGTGCTGGTCCCTCCCCTACAGGTGTCTGCCCCTCTGCTTCACCCCCAGAATCCCCTGACACCTGTACCCTCCTGATGCCTCCCCCTTCCCTCACTGCCCCTGTCCCCTTTGCCCTCTTTTTCCCTGATACCCACTCCCTCACAACCCTCTGCCCCCGTTTCCCTCATGCCCCTGTGCCCCTCATACATGCCTTGCTCCATCCCCGCCTTCCTCATGCCCACCTCTTCTTTAAAGCCTTCTCCCAGCACCTCTCCCTCCCCCATCTAGCCCCCAGTGCTCTTACCCTCTTGTCTCCCAGCATCACCCTGTCCCTCCTCCCACTGACACCTCCCCTCCTGTCCTTTCCCTTATTGTCCGCACTTGGCCCCCTGGGATTTGTCTCTCCTGCACCCCTGTCCCTTGGTGCCTTCCCCCTTTCTTCTTCTTCTTCTCCTGACCTCCTCCCCTCTCCTCAGCACAAGCCCCTTCCCCATATTTTTCACCTCCCCCCTAGGTTTTTTGCTTCCCCAAGCAAAACATTTTTTGGCTGCCCCCACCCGCCCTTTTTGTTGTCTTTTACACACGTTTGCATTTTGCAATAGGTTTTTTTGTTGTTGTTTTCGTTTTTATCCTGGCATTTTAGCCCTGTAAATAGCATTTTCATTTGTTTTTTTCCATAAAGGCAAAGGAGCTTCAAGTGAACTCCCCCTTTCACTCCCTGCTGGGTCACAGCAGCTTTTTCCCTGCCCTGTCCAGCCCCTCTCAATGGACAAACACCCTTTGCTCCCGACCCACAGGGAGAGCAGGGTGCAGGGACAGGACAGAGCCAGAGGGGTGCAGGGAACAGCGGGAGGCATGGGGGTGGCGCGGGGAATGAGAGGCACTGAGCCAGAGGGATGCAGGGATCGGGGGGAGCAGGGTGCAGTGGAGGCATGGGGAATGGGAGGGGCAGAGGGATCAAGGTCTAGGGGCAGTGCAGGGAATGGGCAGCACAGAGCTGGGGGGGGGCAGGGATCGGGGGGGAGCAGGGAGTGGTATGCAAGGGCGGCGCAGAGCCAAAGGGTCGCAGGGAAGAGGGAGAGCAGGGAGTCCAGGGTGCAGGGGAGTAGGGCCGGCGTGGGGAACGGGTGGTGCAAAGACAAAGGGGGGCTGGGGCCGTGGCAGGACTGGAGCCAGCGGGGCGGGCCCTGGCTGTGCCGCACGCCACAGCCAGCTCCCAGGGACACGCGGCCAGAGCCAACCTGCTGCAGCCCTTTAAAATCAGCGGGGACAGCTCATGCCATAAGAACATAAGAACGGCCATACTGGGTCAGACCAAAGGTCCATCTAGCCCA